TGATTTGTGCAAACACATGATCGAGGATGTCACACACCGTATTGGAGTGGGGTGGATGAAGTGGAGGTTAGCATGCGGAGTCTTGTGTGATAAGAGAGTGTCATTGATACTCAAAGGTAAGTTTTACAAAGCGGTGGTTAGATCGACCATGATATATGGGGTTGAGTGTTGGCCTGTTAAGAGCTCACATATCCAGAAGATGAAAGTAGCAGAAATGAGGATGTTGAGATGGATGTGCGGACACACTAGGATGGATAAGATTATGAATGAAGATATTCGGGAGAAGGTGGGTGTTGCTCCCATTGATGACAAGATGCGGGAAGCGAGACTTAGATGTTTCGGACACGTACAAAGGAGAAGCCCAGATACTCCGGTAAGGAGGTTTGAGCGGATGGCTTTGGAGGGCACGAGAAGAGGTAGAGAACGGCCTGAAAAGTATTGGGGAGAGGTGATAAGGCATGACATGGCGAGGCTACAGATTTTCGAGGACATGGCTTTTGATAGGAAGTTTGTGGAGGTCGAGTATTAGGGTTGTAGGTTAGGAGGTAGTTGAGTCTCTCTTAATTCGTACATTTGTGAGGCTAGTCTGATAGGGTTTTGTCGATGTCAGCTAGTGGCTATGTTGTGTCTTACTACTCTTTTGTTTACCATCGTACCGGGTCTATGTATTGTCTATCGCGTTTGCTTTGCATCTACTTCCTCATTTTCATGATGTTATTATTCCTATGGTTTCGATTGGTGATACTAATATTGTCTCTTTTCGTTTTCTTGAGCTGGAGGTCTTTCAAAAATAGCATCTCTACTCTTTTGGGATAGGAGTAAAATTTGCGTACACATTAACTTTCTCATACCCCATTAGTGAAATTTTACTGGATCGTCGTTGTTGTTATATATACTACCATAAATACTTGAAAGGGAGAGAATCCGTCCATAGAGGGTGACGAGAGCAGTGACAAAAACATAGTGTCACGTGGGGGACAATGTTCCACGTTACATCTTACTATTGGACAGCGCTCTTTCTTCTTGGTCTATGGCTGCGGTCAGCCTATAACCCAAAACCCCACACCCCCACTAGACGACTCTTGCTCACCAAGCAACTTTCTGAAAAGTACTTCTTATCCCCACTCCCTACGACTTTAATAATTTGTGTAGAGTAACACTGAAAGGTTAGTATTTGATTTTTCGTCACAAAAATAACCGAGATATTTAATTAATGTTTGGATATAGATTTGATTAAAATTTAAAGAAGAAAAGAAATTTGCGATGCAAAACATCATTTAAAAGTTGAAATTGTATTTGTACATGTATTTCACTTAGTTTTTTTTTAAATTTTATGAGTAAAAAACTTCAAAAATTTGAAAAACTAGTATAGACCACTTTTTGAAACTATTCATCTTCATAAACGGCCCAAAATTGGTCACTTTTTATAACCAAATAATGTTTTTATTTTTTTTTAAAATAAAAATATATGGCTAAACGGGAGCTTAATTTGAAATATAAAAAGTCAAAGTATTTACATATTCCAAAAGTTTTTCTCGTTTAACCAATAACAACAAACCCAGTATATTTCTACGAAAGTCAAAGTATTAACATATTCTAACAATTTCTTTAAAGAATCATTCGATGTTCGAAGCTCATTTAACCACCATCACCACCACCACCAACAAAACTAGCGTATTCCACAAATGGAATATGAGGAAGGTAGTGTAAACACAAACTTTACCCCTACCTTCAAAAGGTAGAGAGACTGTTTCCGATAAACTCTCTCGTTTAATCACAATAATTAATTTGAAATATAAAATGTCTAAGTATTTTTATCGTTAAATACTAAGTAGTTATTTTTTTAACCATACGATATTTAAAACTCACTGACGTATGCATGATTTATTTCTTTACAAACCGTAGACGAAAGTATTCTCATAGTAAATATGTTATTAGTATAAGAATTACTGCAGAATAAAATATAACTTATACATAGACTTGTTTCTTTAATTCTAACGAACATTAAAATTAACTTATGAAACGGCTTAGATATTTTAAAATATATTTTTACTTATAAAATAAGAAACAAATAAAAAATATCTGTCGACATGAATATGTCCCACTCTACAGCACGTTTCAGTTTTATTATTACACATACGACCAGTTTCAATCCACCACGTGCAATTTGGTCCCCTCTTTTTTACCTATATATACACTCACACCCACAAAACCCACAAAATACTCTACGGTCAAAGCAACTAAAACAAACAAGCCATATACAGCAGTTCTCAAAAAGCAGAGAAGCAGAAATTTAAGAGAAAAAAGGAAAGGGAAATCGGAGTTAAAGGAAATTAGAAGAGTGAGATTTGAAGGAAATGATCAAAGGCGTACTCAGAAATCAGCAGCAATTGGAATTACCAGCGGGATTTAGATTCCATCCAACGGATGACGAATTAGTTCAACACTATCTCTGCCGTAAATGCGCAGGACAGCCTATCTCTGTTTCAATTATAGCTGAAATTGATCTTTACAAGTTTGATCCTTGGCAATTACCTGGTAATTTTGTCCTCTCGTTTCTCTCCTTCTTTCAAATTTTAGGTATAAAAAAATAGAACAGATTAATGAGCTTTTTAGGAAGTGGGTCAAATTTAAGGTGAAAGTTGAGAGTGATTTTGTGGTTAGAAAAATTAGTTTGATGTTTTTTACTGCAATTATTATATTGTAAGTTGAGTGACCTTCTGTATAATTTATTATGTTTTTTTGGTAACCGATTATCTCTCTTGAAGAATTTCTAGTGGTTGTGATTTGTGAATAAAATAGTTTTCTTTCAAAATTTGTTCTGCAATTTTAAATATTTTAAAGGAAAATTCAGTTTTTACTGAATTATATTATGGTAGATTCAATTTCATGGTAGATTCACTATTTTCTTTTTTCGAACTGGTATGCATAAATTATATTAACTATTCATAATTATACACATATTATTTATAGATTATACATATATTATATATCATTCGGCTATTATTTAGGTTAATTATTCTTTCCTAAACAAATTGTATTTGATAAATGCAGAGAAGGCTTTGCACGGCGAAAAGGAATGGTACTTTTTCTCACCAAGAGATAGAAAATATCCGAACGGTTCACGGCCGAACAGAGCGGCCGGAACCGGTTACTGGAAGGCAACCGGAGCTGATAAGCCAGTGGGAAAGCCCAAGACTTTAGGGATAAAAAAGGCGTTAGTGTTCTATGCAGGAAAAGCACCTAGAGGAATCAAAACCAATTGGATAATGCACGAATATCGACTCGCTAATGTGGACCGGTCTGCTGGCAAGAGCAATAACTTGAGGGTAAGCACTTTAGGACTAGAATTTAAATTTTATAGTTTCGAATCTAAAATTTTATTATTATAATAAAAATTTTCTTATTTGTACTCATTTAGCGAACTTTTTGCAGCTTGATGATTGGGTATTGTGTCGAATATACAACAAGAAGGGCACACTAGAGAAGTATTACAATGTGGATAACAAGGAGCATTTGGGCTTCGAAGAAGTTGAGGAAGAAGAGGAAAAACCAAAAATTTTACCATTTTCACAAAGTAATGAGTTGATAGCACGACTAGCACCAACGCCGATGCCATCGCGGCCACAATCGATGCCGGGGAGTGACTACTTTCACTTCGAAACGTCTGAGTCGATGACTCGAATGCATACAACAAACTCGAGCTCTGAGTGTTTTGTCGTCGTGTGACAAGGAGGTCCAAAGTGCTCCCAAATGGGACGATCTCGACAAGGCCCTTGATTTCCAGCTAAATTATTTGGACAACTTCCAATATGACCCTTTCGAGGCCCAAATGCAGCTGCAAAATTGCAACACTGATCAGTTCAATTCTTTCCAAGACATGTTCGTATACATGCAGAAACCTTATTATTCCGGTGCGAATCAGAATTAGTCAAAGCTCCGAATTTCAAATTTCTCCCTTACTAATTGTAATCATTGGATTTAACTGAATGTGATCCAAGGCCCTCCTCTTAGTTCTTTCAACTTTATTCTTTGGGGTAGGTCAACTTTTTATTTTGGGGGTTGGGGGTGGGGGAGGGATGGGGGTGGTGAAATATAGAAAATGCAAGTCAAATTTGGTGGGCTATAGCTCAAGTGAGCCTTGACAAGCATAGCCAGAGGACTATATAGAAGGCTTATCACTTATGGTAGGTACATGTAAAATAAATGAAAATTTGTTAATATCAAGTTATCATTCTTCAAATCCCAGAGATTACGATTTTTGCACAAGTTTATCTCAGATTACTAAGGGCAGTATGATAAAAAAACTAATTATATAGGAATATAACACATGTATTGTTATAAAGTGAACAATCTAACACTTGAAATTTTATGTATGAGTTGCAATACCAAACATATGAATTTTTTTATGCGTGTATTCACATACAAAAAATTATGTGCTATTCTAATCCTCGTACTTCAAATACTTTCAATTAACATAAATTAAACAAACCTTTAAAAGTTGTATGATGGATATGATCTCTTTATAATTAATCAGAAGTTTCGAATTCAAGATGAGAATAAAAAATATTAATAGACGGATCCAAATTAATTGAGACGAGAGAGTAGTATTGGAACTGAACGAAAATAAAAAAAAATAAAAAAAACATAAATTGGAATAGAGAGTTCTCATGTTGAACGGCCAAACAAATACGTAAGTTTCCACTTTCGACCCATTCTACACATATATTTATTTTTTAAATTAAACTCTTTTTGTTTCGATTATGTGGAGTGTTTGAATTTTGAGTGTCAAAAAGTTATTTTTTTACCCTAATTTTTTCAGACAACTTTTAAATATTTTTAAATTATTAACTATTACAAAGTTTTTGTAAATTCTATTTCGATTTTTTTTTAAAATTCTATATTCAAATATATGATGGAAGTTAAAAAGTTTGCCTTTAAAAGCAAAATAAAAAAAAAATCATATAAATCGGGATCGATTTAGTAATAAAATAATGCACTTAGGCAATTGGTTCCTATTTTCGTGAGGATACGTTGTAATCTATCTCTGAGTCTATATTCTCCCGGAATATCTCGTAACATAGTTTTGTTCTTTTTCTTTGATCATAAGCAGTAAAACTGATTTTCGATTGGAAGAAATAATCACTTAGATCAGAATTGAGATATGGACTCTGCTGATTGGCGCACTCAACTTCTACCCGATTCTCGTCAAAGGATTGTCAACAACATGTAATTTCCCTTTTCCTTGTTTTTCTTTTTATCAATGATTTTGGATTCCGACTTATAGTGTTCCTTTGTGTTTATCTGTTTCTGAAAATGATCGTTTAGGCAGAAGTTTTGACAAGTCAACTCGGGGACTTGTTTTTGTTCTGCTTTCCAGTTTATGAAAACTCACTTGTCCAGGTGAATTGGAAGTGTATGCCATAGAATTTTCCAGTATTGGTAATCACTCAATGCCACTGCTTCTTTTCTTTAATCGAGGGTCTAACTGAAATAGCTTCTCCACCCTCCCAGGGTAGGGGTGAGGTCCGCCTCCTCACACCCCACTTATGGGAATCTACTGGGTTTGTTGTTGTTGTTTGTAATCACTCAAGGAATTGGTTCAAGTGAAAAAACTAGTTTTTTTTATGACGGTGGTGTCCGGGCCAGGTTGGACTATTCCGTTGGATCCTAGCGGCACAAGTACTAGGGCTTAGGGAGATGAGAATAAATGACCTAGCATTTTTTACCTTCTGCAGGTATTTGAGCCTGAAACCTCATAGTTCTCCTTCCATTTCATTGATCACTGAGCCGCACCCTTGGGTTTAACTCTATAGTGGCTTATATTTTATTTTAGACAAGTCAAAAATTCTCTTTCAAAAAAGATATGTCAAAAATGACAGGTTGCAGCGCGAGTTATTAATTGGATGATAACTGAATAGAGGCGGATTCATGATTTGAACTTATGGGTTTGGAATTCTAGGACAGATTGCTACTTCAAGCGCTAAAAACTGGGTTTAAAATTTAATATTTGTTCAAATTTCTTGATTCTTAGCACATATATAGTTTGAGTCAAACCTACTGCGTTTAATTGAATCCATATATTACACTCTACTGAGTTAAACTGATATTGTTAAGGGAAAACAGGTTTTTGGCTTTCGAAGCAGGGTGTAATCTCAATTATATCTTATCTTTAAAAGGCATTTATATAGATTATGCTCTTTTGAACCCGTTAAGCTGAATTCTTGCTGATATGGCTGTGTAGAACCGAGACCTTAAAGAGGCATCTTTCTGTCACTAGGGAAGGAGGAGTTCAGGAGCTCAAGAAAATTGCAGCGGGGTTTGAGGAAAAGATCTATACTGCTGCTACAAGTCAAGTATGCAATCTAAACTTGCTTCTATTTGTTTGAATAATGCAATTGTTTTCGACCTGGTTGATGTTATTCTTGCTTGTATTAATGTGCATTTACATTTCAAGTAATTTTGACATGTTGTATGCATTTTTGAATTTTATCTCTAATTTATCATTTGTTGCAGCAAGATTATCTACGAAAAATATCTCTAAAGATGCTTACTATGGAGACAAAATCTCAAAATCCTATGACCAATTCGAGCAATGCTGCAAGTAGTGGTCAGAATGCCCATGACCCAGGTGAGGAATGAAAGTTCCTGTGCTGTATTTCACATTAACAAATCATTTGTCCAACAGGATTACTTAGTTATGATGTTGGAAAAGCCTGCTCTCTATGGCTACAAAGTGTAGAGGACAGTGTTCAGTCTCCCCTTTCTCGTCAATGTTCCTTTCTCACCACTGAAAATTCTCAGTTGCCGTCCGATTTCTGTACCTACCTTGACATTACAAGCCCCACCCTCTTCATCCCATCATTTACATCACCTTTGAAACATCATCTAAAGTTTTATTTTTTTCTGATCCTTTTTTTCTCTGAGGGGAAGAAAAACTTTTAGCTGCATAAAGAAGTGTCAGATTTAGCTGTCTAACGAAGAGGCTTTTGAAAGGAAATGCATATTTTGGGAGTGAAGGTACCGCCCCAGCTGGAGCTGCAGTCGGAGTTCTGGATGCCGCTGATTGGCGGATTCAACTTCTACCTGATTCTCGTCAAAGCATTGTCAACAAGATGTAATTTTCTTTTTCTTTTCTTGCAACTTGTACTTTTTTTTTTTCTTTTGTCAAGGATGTTGGATTTCGACTTTAGGTTTCCTTTGTGTTTATCAGCTTCTGAGAATAACCATTTAGGCAGAAGTTTGACAAGTCTCATGGATACCTGTTTTTCGTCTTTCCTTTAATGAAAACACACTTCTCTAAGTGAATTGAGTAATCCTATTATTGGGTGGATTAATTGGAAATTGATGCCCTAGATATTTCCAATTCTGGTAATCACTCAAGGAACTAGTCCGAGTGGAAAACCTACTTTAACTCTCTGTGGCTTACATATGTCGAAATGACAAGTAGCAGCGCAAGTTAATTGGATAATAATACTAACTAATATTGTCACGAGAAAACAGATCTTAGGCTTAATAAGGCTTTCACTGCAGGGCGTAATGTCAAAACATTTTCATCGTTAAAAATCGTCTTATCTAGATGTGCTCTTATCAACCCGTTAAGCTGAAGTTTTGCTGATATGACTGTATAGAACCGAGACCTTAAAGAGACATCTTTCTGTCACTAGACAAGAAGGAGTTCAGGAGCTTATGAAAATTGCTGTGGGGTTTGAGGAAAAGATCTATACTGCTGCTACAAGTCAGGTATGCAGCCTAAACTTGCTTCTATTTGTTTGAATAATGCAATTGTTTTCCACCTGGTTGACGTTATTCCTGCTTGTATTAATGTGCATTTACGTTTCAAGTCATTTGACATGCTGTATGCATTTTTGAATTTAACTTTAATTTATCTAATGTTGCAGCCAGATTATCAACGGAAAATATCTCTAAAGATGCTGACTATGGAGACAAAATCTCAAAATCCTATGACCAATTCGGCCAATGCTGCAAGTAGTGGTCAGAATGCCCATGACCCAGGTGAGCAATGAAAGTTCATGTGCTGTATTTCACATTAACAAATCATTTGTTTGACAGGACGCTTTGTATAAACCTAATGACTTAGTTATGATGTTGGAAAAGCTTGCTCTCTATGGCTACAAAGTGTACAGGAAAGTGTTCACTCTCCCCTCTCTCGCAATGTTCCTTTCTCCCCGCTGAAAATTCTCAGTTGCCCTCCGAATTCCATACCTACCTTGACATTACAAGCCCCACCCTCTGCCTCTCATCATTGACATCACCTTTGAACATCATCTAAGTTTTTTTTCTTCTGATTGTTTTATGTTCTGAGGGGAAGAAAAACGTTTATCTGCTTAAAGAAGTGTCAGATTTAGTTGTCTAACGAAGAAGCTTTTGAAATGAGATGCATATTTTGGGGAGTGAAGGTACCACCCCAGCTGGAACTGCAGCCGGAGCTATGGACGCCGTGGATTGGCGGACTCAACTTCTACCTGATTCTCGTCAAAGGATTGTCAACAAGATGTAATTTTCTTTTTATTTTCTTGCAGCTTGTTCTTTTTTTTTTTTTATGTCAAGGATTTTGGATTTCGACTTTAGGTTTCCTTTGTGTTTATCAGCTTCTGAGAATAACCATTTAGGCAGAAGTTTGACAAGTCTAATGGATACCTGTTTTTCGGCTTTCCTTTAATGAAAACACACTTCTCTAAGCGAATTGAGTAATCCTATTATTGGGTGGGTTAATTGGAAGTTGATGCCCTAGATATTTCCAATTCTGGTAATCACTCAAGGAACTAGTCCGAGTGGAAAACCTACTTTAACTCTCTGTGGCTTACATTTTGTTCTAGATATGTCGAAATGACAGGTAGCAATGCGAGTTAATTGGATAATAATACTGATTAATATTGTCACAAGAAAACAGGTCTTAGGCTTTTCACTGCAGGGCGTAATGTCAAAACATTTTCATTGTTAAAAAATATTTTATCTAGATTCTACTCTTATCAACCCGTTAAGCTGATTTTTTGTTGATATGACTGTATAGAACCGAGACCTTAAAACGGCATCTTCCTGTCACTGGAGAAGAAGGAGTTCAGGAGCTCAAGAAAATTGCAGTGAGGTTTGAGGAAAAGATCTATACTGCTGCTATAAGTCAGGTATGCAGTGTAAACCTGCTTCTATTTGTTTGAATAATGCAATTGTTTTCCTCCTGGTTGACACTATTCCTGTTTGTATTAATGTGCATTTACGTTTCAAGTCATTTTAACTTGTATGCCACTTGTGGGATTATACTGGGTTGTTGTTGTTGTTGTTGTATGCATTTCTGAAGTTAGCTCAAATTTATCTTATATTGCAGCCAGATTATCTACGAAAAATATCTCTAAAGATGCTGACTATGGAGACAAAATCTCAACATCCTATGACCAATTCGACCAATGCTGCAAGTAGTGGTCAGAATGCCCTTGGTCCAGGTGAATAATCAAAGTTCATGTTCTATATATTTTACATTAGCAAGACGCCTTCTATAACCTAGTTACTTAGATCTGCTGTTGAAAAAGCTTGCTCTCTGCATCTACATAGTGTACAGGAAATTTAGATGCTTGAACCAATGTACTAGTCGTTTGCCATTGGAAATCCTAATTTGGAGAAGAGACAATGATATATTAATGCAAATGAGATATATGTCCAAATAAGCAGCCAAGTCAGCAGAAAATATAATATTTTAAGCCTTTTTCATCCCAGTTGGAGTTCCGTTAATGAGGAGGGTATTTTGCATTTCTTGGCTAACGGCGAGGGCAAGATTGGTCCTAAATTGAAACAGAGGGTAAAATTGCACAATATTGAATAGTTCAGGGGCAAATTTAACCATTTCCCGTTCTATTTATGTTTGAGCAAATAACATGCCCCTTATCTATAATATTTTAGGTGACTACTGTTAGTAAGTACTGATTTGTGCTCTAGGTCATAGTCCTAGCCCCTTAAAGTGTTGCTTATCTACTTTCTGACCATCCTTTTTTCTTTGTATTAGAAAATCCCAGACGAAAAAAGAACAAAAGAAAAGCAGATCATTTAAGACTCTATCCAGTGTAGTCTGTTTGTCTAATAATAAAAACTTAGCTAGCTTTTGGCCATAGATTCCCAAATTTGTTTTGAAAAATCTGATTTGGGTGAAGTTTGGTTTGAAGATGAAAATATGTTTGGACATCAGTTTTCAAAACATATTTCACTTTTGTTTTTGAAAAAACATGAAACATGACTTATACCCACAAGTTCTAAAAACTATCACAAATACCCTACAATACCTTCATCAATAACATTCACTATATTATCGCAAGCCATAGTCCTGAACATAAATAATTTTGGTACAAAATTATCATTTTTATGATGAACTACATAATACACTATCACATGACCGAGAAGACGAAGCAACATTGTTACAAAATAATAAATAGTGGGCTCTTTTATAAAATACAAAAGTTTGGGGCAATTTTTAAATAATGTAATAGTAATATTTTGGGAGCTGGTTTTGGGATTTGGGTTTTGGGAATTTTCCAAAATATGGATAAAATTTATGAACAAACATGTATTTGCCAAAAAAAATCCAAATAAATTTTGGCAAAATCTATGGTCAAACGGGTCCTTAGTCAAAGTTCTCATTTGGGAATCAGTTTTCACAATGCAATGGTTTATGATTCTCGTACCTGTTAGTACTAGAATTGGATGCCCCTGCTAACAGTTTGATGTAGAATGTAATATTATTCATTTACACAGTATGCTAACTTTACCAGACAAAATACTAGTATTTGAGTATCTACCAAATAGTGAATGTCCGAGTATGTTTATATAGAATAGTTTTCCATCATATCAATGACCCTTGTGATATGTCTATAGAAGTGTAAAGTGCTCCAAAAACTTTCTAAGCGAAGCAAGTATTTGATAAACTAGTTTTCACGAATACCTTAATATGGTTAACCAACTCATAAAAGGTAAACAAACTTCAAAAAGATAAAGGGAAGCTTTAGAAACTCCCTTATAAAAGGAGAACAATGGAAACAAGAACCAAAGTATGAAAGGCAAAAAATATTAATCAGTTCTAATGTGTCTGAGGACAACAAAGCAAGTAAGATAAGTCAAACAATCCATAACTGTTGAAGATCACCATCTGTCCTAAATCTTGTCCTGCAAGTTGACACATATGCAGTAATCAAACATTCGGCAATCTTAAGTATGAAAACTAAGCTTCAAATTATGGAAACACATCCAATCACTTTCCAAATATCATTTCTTCAGGAAAGAATGAGTAGAGTACAAAGCAACTCCTATTGCGTACCTAAATCTTTTGTTCCCTCACTGGGACTTCAATTAACTTGTATCTTGATGCTATGATCAGCCGTATGAAATTCAAATTTTAAAAAGGATTAGAATAGATAGGATCTTTTCAGAGATAAGTTAGGGATAATCCATCAATAGCTCCGATTACTAATTCATACAGAAAAGGATAAGAATCAATAGTTATCCTATGAATTCGAGTTTTTATTCCAAGAACGCAAGGGCATGTTGCTTGAATAAGTAACTGCAGCGTTCTCTTTTGCTTCCTCAATAGATGTAAGCTTTGAAATGGACCAAATTCAGGATTTTAATCCTAAATGGGTTTATCTCGTGAATGTCCTTGATTTCGAGCTAAATTATACAATGGACGGTTTCCAAGATGACCCTTTTGGACCCCAAATGCAGCAGCAAAACTGCAACATTGACCCGTTCAATCCTTTCCTACCAAAATTGTGTAAATTATTGGATCTAATTAATTATGATCCTTGACTTCTTATTCGTTCTTTGGTGTATGTCAACTTTTTAGGTCATGGGGGTAGAGGCGAGAAGTAAAGTGGAGGATGGTTAGAAAATAGAAAAGTCAAGTCAAATATGGTGGGCTATAGCTCAAATTAGCCTCGACAAGCATAGCGAGAGTACTATATAGAAGGCTTGTGATAGAAAATTTGTTAATCTCAAGTTATCATTCTCGAAATCACATTGATTACAACTATTTGGCACAATTTAAAAGGAAAATAATCAAAATTAGCGGATATGTTTTAGACACTAGTCTTTGAGTATGCACGGTGTGGGATACATGTACAAAAAATCTAAAAAATCACATAAATATTAAAGAAAATAAAATAAAAAGTAAAAAAAAGTGTAAGTTTCTGTAAATGATTAACATTTATCCTATTTAGTTAAATGGATAACAATCTCTTGTGTCTCTCTAGTACAAGTATTTGCTTGTCATGAAGTTATATTTGTTGCTTAACTGCTATAGAGAATTGTATACTTCTGTTTGAATAAAGCAATTAGAAGAAAGTTGCGCCCATAAATTTCTATGTGATTTTTCGACAAGTGTGGGCTTATTGGTTTTGGCTTACTGCATTTTTGGAAGGAACTGTAATTATATTACATAGTTTAAATAAGTACAGGATTTTGTATAAGGCAAAATCTCAAATTGATTTTAAAATCCAAAATATTAGGGTTTCCTAGTACAAATAAAGAAAGATCTAATAAGCAAGATTTTAGTTGATTTCAAATTTCTAAATATTAGGAGCATAATTCTTCATAAAAATATTAGGAAAATATATTGAAATATATTTTTAAAAGGTAACAGAGTTGATCAACATTTCGTGTTGGTGCTTCGTGCTTTTTCTTTCTAATAGTTAAAATATAGATTTTTTGATTGTTTATAATAGATTAGATATAGATTCCTGCCAGGAAAGGGAAATTACTCAAGGAAGCATGAAGAGAAAGAGAGAAAACTCGGGAGATAATGTTGAAGAGCATAATGATCAAATTCTACCAACATTTACATGTGAAATATGCACTGAAGTTGTTCCAATAACCATGAAATTCAACAATTTCCATAGTTGCAATCATTCTTTTTGCTCAAAATGCATAGAGAGGCACGTCGAAGTGAAAATCCAACTAAGGATTGCTGATATACAGTGCCCGTATGTAGATTGTGGGAAACTTTTGGACCCTCTAGTATGTAGAACGATGATTCCCTTATCGATTTTCGAGGAGTGGTGTGACCTTCTCTGCAGGCAGGCTCATTTAGGATTCGAGAAATGTTACTGTCCTTATCAAGATTGTGGAGAAGTCATTGTTAAAGAGTGTGAAGATGTTGTTGGAAAATCGGAGTGTCCTAACTGCAGAAGATTGATTTGCTTTCAGTGTGGGCTTCCATGGAATGTCTGTGAAGAAAATGGATGTTCAAAGGTGAATGATACTTTGTTCAAAGAACTTGTGGAGCAAAAGCAATGGACTAAATGTCCTAGCTGTAATATGTATGTCGAACGAATTGCAGGCTGCAATCATATGCAATGCAGGTTCTCTCTCTCTCTCTCTCTCTCTCTCTCTCTTTTGTTACATATGGGTTTAACTTATACATTGATATAAAGAATTTTTGCACTATCGATAAATTTTAACCTGTTGTAGCAGGATATCTGCCTTATTTTTCGAATTATTAATCTCACTTATTATGGAGAGCCACTTGTAGTATCTTTTAGATAACTTGATAGTAGAAAAAAACTCTTATACATCAGTTAAAAAGTAAATTCATGCACATAATTGTTTATCCTATGGCTGGCATGACGGTGAAATTACTCTATTATACACACATGTTTCTACCTACATATGACCACGAGCAGTGTTCCTTTTCGAAACAACTAATAAGGGAGGAGACACTTTTCACATCCCTTCTCACTTAATTATCTAACATCTCAGCCACCTAATAATATGTCCATAATAAAATGTATGCTCTGTAATGAGTCTTCTTCCACTGTTTCGTGGAAATTCAACTATCACTCATAGTTATCACTTTGAAGTTGATAGTAGCTGGAATGATAATTTTGATGGGAGTGCCGGGGTGGCCAGGCAAACACAACCTCTTATCGATGAAAAGTTGAGGTTGGCAGTTTAAGTTGTTGCTTCCCCAACAACTCCCATNTTAACGTCTTGTAATAGGTTGTATGTCTTATTTTTCAAGTTATTAATTCTAGTTATTATGAACAACTACATGCAATTATCTTTTTAGGCGATATGATAGTGGGAACAATTTTCTTACTGTCAATGTACAAAAGTTAAACCAAGGAAAAAAGTCCCATATGCTGTATGTTTTCAATTTCTTCCTTTAGTTTTACTCCTACATAGAAATCTGAATTACATAGATTGTTGAAACTACATATTTACTGGATGAAACAACTCGAATCCTCATTAAGCTTTTAAGGTTTCAGATGTGCAGATGAGTAACTCAGTAAATTTCTATTTGCAGATGCAATTTCTGTTTCTGCTACAAATGCGGGAAAAGCCCTACTGCTCAGAGGCGCTGGTGCAGGTGCAAATAAGATTGAAGATCCTCATTTTGCACTTGTTAGGTTCACCTTTTTTCATGATAAAAGGTTGTATATATAATAAAATAACTATAAATGGTTTGATTTATATACACTGACGTTGTTAAAAATAATTGCGCTATCAAAATGTTGCCTGCTATTTATCTGCTTTATATGTTAAATGTTAAGGATCCACAAATCATAGATATATACATATAATTATCATGTAAATGACTTGGTATAGATGGTGCAATTATTTTCACTGTTCTTGAGCGGAGAGTCTTTCGGAAACAGTCTTCTACCTCCATAAGGTAGGGGTAAGGTCGTACACATTACCCTTCTCAGACCTCACAACTGAATTTGTTGTTGTTGACTTGGTAGTTTGATTATCTTTTTTGTTATGTCAGTGTATATATCAGTTAAACTCAAAATGGATTGGCAGTAACCTATACACATGAAGTGACATACATAAAAAATTTAACCTTGTTTGAAAATGCTTGTAGGAGTCGTTTGATTTAAGGGATGTGATGAAATGATCATGGTATATATTTTGGTATTGCCATGGTTTGTATTTTGAATCATGTATAGCTAATCTTGGTATAATTTAGAGCCCGTTTGGACATACAATTTTTTTCCTTTTTTCCAATTTTTTTTTTGAAACCAATGTTTGGTTATCCCATTCTTACCAAATTTTCCAATTTCAGTTGAAAATCCATTTTCAAATTTGAAAAACTGGTTCTGACCAGTTTTTCAATTGAAAATGGGAATTTGCTAGTTTTTAGTGTTACAATTTTACCCTGTATTTTTAAAATTTATAAAATAACCCCAGCAGTTGTTCATATTTATGTTGTTTTTGGCTTAAATTCCTTCTCTGTGTATTAGTAGAATTAGAAAATGTGATATTGATTTTGCATCTTCTGTGTATTGCAGTAAAGCAGAATATGATAACAGTTAAACAATAGTATTTTGATTGTTTATTTCAAGTAGGATAATCAAATTGGGGTAGTTTTGATATTATTTATAAGTTGTGGGTATAAATCATGTTTTATGGTTTTGAAAAAAAAGACATCCAAATATGTTGCAAAAATTATAACCAAACGCAACTTCATCTTCAATTGAAATTTTAGTGAAATTCCAAATTCCAAAAAAAAAATTGGAATGCATGTCCAAACGCCTACTTAATATACCAATTGGTGTTTTATTTTATACCTTATAACATGGAATAGTAATACATGGATTAAACACCAAAAGATAAAATTACCTGTAATCGCTCCCTGAAATCCATTATCAACACCCTTAATTTTATGAAGTTTAAAAACTATTTTAAACTTTACCCTATTACCCCATCTTTCGTATAAGAAACCAAACGTATAATTAATTAATTGTTGCATTACAATCCCACATTATAAAGTCCATGTATTACAAACGACCCCTTAGTAAAAATTATAGATTTCCTTTTGTCTTTTCAGATTTGCTTCGTTAGATTGCAGAACTTTACTGTTTGCTTTTGTCCAAACCTTCATTTTGTTAAGGAAAATATCATTCACTTTAATTAAATTAGAAGTAAAATAAACAAGTTGACTAAACCAGAACCAAATTCCTTCTAAGAGACTGAAAATCACATATATGATATTTGGAGATGAATTTTCTTTTATATATCGGGGAATAATAAAAAATGAGAAATTAAGTAGCTTTTAGTTTGTAATGCCAAATGTGAAGCTATTGATTGCACTGGAAATATGTAAAAGCAAAAGTATGTTCAATTTTGTGCGAAAGTTTTTAGATTATTTTATATCCTTTTACTTTAATTTTGGTACTTCCAATTGGAAGCTTTTAAATTTAATCAATTCTCAAGGCTGTTATTCTTGTCAGAAAAAAAAGATGGTACTCTTTGCTTGTGAGGGTCAGCCAAATTTAAGTTTGATGAAATTCAACTTTCGAGCAAAAGTTAAAATGTGTTGTTATATTTGACATGTGTTTTTGAATTCGTAAAATTTATTACTATTTTAAATAAGGTAATAATTGTCTTAGATTAATTACCTTTTAACTCTTGACGCATACAAGAAGAAAAATATATTTAAGGCCACAACAAATATCTACTTATCGTTAGCAAAACAACAAATACAAGAGGTCATATATACCGCTTGATTATTTTGTGGCTAGGCTTACGATATGTTTAAGTTACGACTAAATGTAAATTACATGCCACAAAAGTGGCTATAGTTTAAATAGGAGTAAATGAAAAGTGTTAGAAGAGACATCAGACATTACATATTTTTAGCACAAACCAAAAAAACTTGCGACCTACAACGTATCCCTTTTCTCAACTAATTCCTCGAAAAGCGCGCGAAAACAGTTGGAAAAAATTCTTCTCTTTGTTTTTCTTCCTTATTTTCTTTATATTTATATAGCAAAATTCGTTTTTGTCTTTCCCTTTTATAGTTTCTCTATTTCTCTATTCATATAAACAAATAATGTGATTTTGAGAATTGGTTCCTCTTTTTTTGATTTTCAATAGGGAAAGAGGTATTAATTAGATCAAAATTGAGATGGATGGGAATAACTGGAAGGCTCAGGCCCGGGCTCGGGCTCGGGCTCGAGGTGGTGGTGGTGGTGGTGGTGGTGGTGAAGGTACCGGCCTATCAGCTCCCGCCGGCGGATTGAAATGTAATTTCCTTTATCGCTTGCAACTTGTACTTGTTTTTCTTTTGTCAATGATTTAATACTACTATATACTTTTGTTTATTTGTCTTGTAAATGTAAAAGACGTAGCCAAAGTTCTCATTTAGTAATTCCGAATCAGTTTTGGCAGAGCAATGGTTTGAGAATTGTAGGTTTAATTGAAATTACAAAGCAAAATGGAATTTGTACTGGAAATCTAGTTCCACCTTCCATTTGAGAAAGAAGATACCCGTAGCATTCATTAAAATTTTTTTAAAAAATTCAATACAATAATATTGACGGCACAGAATCTAAGGAAGTGGCAAGTTGTTTGTGTTAGTTGGTGTTTCATGTACAAGGAAAGGGGGTGGGGGTGGGGTGAAGATGTCAATCATTTCCTTTAAAATTGTCTCGTCGCCTCGAGGTTATAGTGGGAAATTCTGATAGGAGTTTTGGGCCTTGGAAGAGTATTAGTTAGTGGGCTCTCTTTTATGTGTAGTTACAGTTAGCCCAGAAATATAGTTATCATATTTACATATTAAGTCCGTTATTTCTTTTTATTTCTAGTCGGTATGAGAAGTTTGTTATGCCAGCTCAGCCACCTTCTCGTTATATACTTTGTAGCACAGCTCTAGGAGCATCATTGGGAGAGTTAATACAATTTCTGCTTTTGTTAGCTTCTTTTCTTCTCTGCACTTTGATTCTTTCTATCAGTGGTATCAGAGCACTTTCCTGCTCAGGGGTATTCTGCCATGGGAGGCGAGATGTTGGAGGTTCTGAATCGTCTTGACCGCATAGCTTTGCGACAAGACCAACTCGAATCAGTGCATGAGAGTATATTCCGTGAGTTGAAAAAAACTATTGGTAACAATCATATCATGGGTAAAGACAAGCAGCAAGCATCGCCGATGGGAGGGTCGAAGGAGCTCTATTCTCCGACCACCGGACCTGGGGGTTTGTTAGGTACTCACAATGCTTCTTCCCTACAACAATCCTCCAATATTAGTAATTCAATTCAACCTCCAGAAACTCTAGTTCAACAAACCTCAAAGCCAAATCTAGATCCCATTAATCTGTCGCCTTTAACCTTCCCATTTCCCAATTCCCAGACTTCATCTAATGCCATCTTAATTCACTCTCCCCAATTTGCCCAATCGTTCATTCCAGAGACCAACCCCTACCCAGATCCCTAGTTCTCAGCCAGTCTACAATCCAATCTCAGCTCCCATGCATAGTCCTTATTTTACCCACAAGCTACCACCATATACCTCACCCTTCCTGAACCCCTATTCTTCATACCCACAAAATCCGACCTATCAGTATAACCCAGTTCAATATAACCCATATTCATTGTATCAACCTAACCCCTCTCATCATTATTACCACTCAACTCCATATAACACTCTTCCACCTCTACCAAATAACCAGACCCTTACCAGATTGTCACGAATAGAGTTTTCGAAGTTTGATGGGAAGGGATTCCAAGGATGGTGGTATAAGGTGGAGCAATATTTTTCGTTAGATGAGGTCCCACCTCATCTAAAAGTCACTGTGGCATCTATACACTTTGATGATCTTGCGCTTCAGTGGCATCAAGCATATATGAGGAGTAAAGCACATCTTCCATTTCCTACTTGGGAGGAGTATCTCTTTGCTATGGCTGATCGATTTGGGGCAGAATATGATGATCCAATGACAGAACTGGTGAAACTGAAGCAAATAGGGGGTGTCAAGGAATTTCAAGAGGTGTTTGATAGAGCTATGACTAGGTTGAACTTGGATCCTAACCATGCTATAAGTATATTTTTGAATGGGTTGAAGCCAGAATTAGGGTATGCAGTCAGAATTCATAACCCCTTCTCTTTACCCCAGGCTTACCATTTGACGAGGTTGCAGGAATCCATATTTCTTAAGCAATCAAGAGCTATGAAGCATTCAGCTGTTTACACCAGTTCTACTGCTACAGCCAATCCCACTTATGTTCAAACTAAACCCATCACCTACCCAGAAATACATCTACCTAAGCCAGTAGATACCAAGGTAAGGAGGAGAAGATTGTCCCCTGCAGAGTTGAGTGAGAAAAGAGCTAAGGGTTTATGTTATGCCTGTGATGAGAAATTTGAACCAGGACATGTGTGTAAAGCCAAGGCACACTTGTTCTTGTTGGAACTAGAAGAGGAGAGTACATAAGGAATTATTATAGAGGATGTCTTGGAACCGGATGAATCAGCTGAGGCATGTGAAATATCCCTTCAAGCACTTAATGGCTCTAAGAAGTACAAAATCTTGAGGGTTACTGGTTATTGCCATAAAAGATAACTTAACATCCTAATTGATAGTGGGTATACACATAATTTCCTTGATTATGACTTGGTGGAGAGCATGGGGTGGCAGATTGATCAATGCCCACCCACGGAAGTTAGCTTAGCTGATGGCAATTCAATACAGGTTCACAAGGTCTGCAAGGGACTTGAATGGCTATTGCAAGGCAATGTGTTTAAAGCAGACTTCCTCTTATTACCATTAGGAAGTTGTGACATGGTATTGGGCATCCAACGGCTTAGTGACTTGGGAGATATTATGTTTAACTTCAAAAAATTAACTATGAAGTTTGAGTATCAAGGGAGATTGGTGGCATTACAGGGAATGGCACCACAGTTGAAGATGGTTGACTCGGAGTCCTTACAAAATATCAAAGGGGGAGATGTTCGGTTGTTTATGATTAAAGCAGTTCCAATGGAGAATGATAGTTCAAATGTGAAAGGGGAAACTTCTCAAACCCAAGAAACTGCAGAAATCCAAGCAGTTTTGTTGGAGCATGCAGAACTCTTTGGAGAGCCCCAGGAACTTCCTCCTTCCAGGGCATTGTTTGACCATAAGATACCATTGCAGGAGGGAGCCAAGGCTGTGAATAGCAGACCTTACAGGTATTCTCCATGCAAAAAGATGTTATAGAAAAAGTGGTAGCTGAACTACTGGATCAGGGGTTAATTCAACATAGTTGTAGCCCTTTTGCTTCCCTAGTGGTTTTGGTAGGGAAAAAGGATGGGAGTTGGAGGATGTGTGTGGATTATAGGGCATTAAACCAAATCACAATTAAGGATAAGTTTCCAATACCTATTATTGAGGAGCTGCTAAGTGAATTAGGCGATTCTCAAATTTATTCTAAGATTGATTTAAGGTCAGGGTACCATCAAATTAGGATGGCCCCTAATGATATTCACAAAACAGCTTTTAGAACACATTCTGGTCATTTTGAGTATCTAGTCATGCCCTTTGGACTGACTAATGCCCCTTCTAGCTTTCAGAGTTTGATGAACCACATTTTCAGGGAGCAACTTAGAAAGTTCATCTTGGTTTTCTTTGGCGATATATTAGTTTACAGTAGAAGTGTGGAGGAAGATGTGCAACACCTCAGGGTAACTTTCACAATACTTAGGCAACATCAACTATATGCTAGGAATTCTAAGTGTGTATTTGCTGCGACAAATGTGGAATATTTGGGTCACTATATCTCGGCTGAAGGGGTTTCTACAGATCCCAAGAAAGTCAAGGTTGTGGCAGAGTGGCCACTACCCAGCAATATCAAACAATTAAGGGGATTCCTGGGGTTGGCTGGGTACTATAGGAGGTTTATCAGGGGTTATGGGGTGATAAGCAAAGCATTGACTGACCTCTTAAAGAAGGATAGTTTCAAATGGACTGAAAAGTCTACTCAAGCATTTGAAAGGTTGAAGAAGGCTCTTACCACAGCACGTGTGCTGGCTATGCTTGATTTTTCTATCACTTTTGTGGTGGAAACTGATGCTTGTGATGTGGGGATTGGTGCTGTCTTGATGCAAAATGGGAGGCCAATTGCCTACTTAAGTAAAGGGTTATCAGTTAGGCATCAGTCATTATCAGTATACGATAAAGAGCTACTGGCTTTGGTACTAGCAGTGACCAAGTGGAGTCAATATCTGATATGCAGACACTTCCTTGTTAGAACAGACCAAAAGGCTTTGAAATTTTTGTTGGAACAAAAATTACACACGGCGTCTCAGTTGAAATGGGTGACAAAGTTGATGCAGTTTGACTTCGAGATTGAATATAAAAAGGGGAAGGAAAACAAAGTTGCTGATGCCTTATCTAGACTACCTGTTGCTGAATTATCCGCTATAACTCTTTCCACAGTAAGGACTGAATTGTTGCATGATATTATGAAGAGTTGGGAAAATGATCCTGACACTCAGGGACTAATCAAACAGTTGCAGCAGCCTGGATCAGAGGTTAAAGGGTACACTTACATACACAAACAGCTCAGAAGACATGGTAAACTGGTAGTTGGACCAAATGTGGCTCTGAGAAAAGAAATACTCCAATTGTGGCATGATTCACCTCATGGAGGACACTCGGGGATAGATAGTACTTATAGAAGGATGTCTGCACTCTTCTACTGGAAGGGTATGAGAGAAGATGTAGCAGCTCATGTGAAGGTATGTGATGTATGTCAAAGGAACAAGTATGAGACCATTGCTTACCCAGGTCTGCTTCAGCCATTGCAGGTTCCTTCAATTGCATGGGCAAGTATTAGCATGGATTTGATCGAAGGGTTACCTAAGTCTCGGGGCAAGTCAGTGATATGGGTGGTGGTAGACAGACTTACAAAATATGCACACTTCATGGCCATCTCTCATCCATATACAGCTAATGATATAGCTAAGTTGTTTATGGAACATATCTTCAAATTACATGGGATGCCAGAGGAAATTATAAGTGACAGGGATCCAATTTTTACTAGCAAGGTTTGGAGAGAGGTGTTTGCAATACAAGGAGTAACCTTGAACACCTCTACAGCTTACCATCCACAATCCGATGGCCAAACAGAGGTGGTCAACAGGTGTTTGGAGACTTATTTAAGGTGTTACAGCTCCGACTCGCCAACAGATTGGGTACAATACTTGGTTTTTGCAGAATGGTGGTATAGCACCAACTTTCATTCTTCCATTCACACCACTCCTTATGAGGCATTGTATGGGCAGCCTCCCCCCTTGCATCTCCCTTACATAGCTGGAGACTCTGAAGTGGAAGAAGTGGATAGGAGCTTGGTCACTCGAGAATTCAAGTTCCAGTTGCTCAAGTATCATCTAACTAGAGCTCAACAAAGGATGACAGATCAGGCCAATAAACATAGAACATATAGACAGTTCAAGGTAGGGGATTGGGTCTATTTGAAGATTCAACCATACCGGCAGGTTACCATGTCTCAACATCATTTCAACAAACTGTCTGCCAAGTATTATGGTCCGTATATGGTGGAGCAGAAGGTGGGGTCAGTTGCCTACAAGTTAACTCTTCCAGCTGAGCTTATGCTGCATCCAACATTCCATGTGTCGTTGCTCAAACCTTGTCATGAAATTCCAGCTCACATTTCTCATCCTCCAGTGCTTAACCTTGCTAGTCCCTATTGCCCTCACCCTCATAAAGTGTTGGAAAGGAGATTGATACAGAAGGGAAATAAGGCTGTGGCTCAATGGTTGATTCATTGGGATCAAATGTCAGAAGACCAGGCAACGTGGGAAGATGCTAACACGATCAAGATCAGGTTCCCAGACTTCCTTCCTTGAGGACAAGGAAGTTGTCGACAGGGGATTACTGATACGAGTTTTGGGCCTTGGAAGAGTATTAGTTAGTGGGCTCTCTTTTATGTGTAGTTACAGTTAGCCCAGAAATATAGTTATCATATTTACATATTAAGTCCGTTATTTCTTTTTATTTCTAGTCGGTATGAGAAGTTTGTTATGCCAGCTCAGCCACCTTCACGTGGACTGAGCTGTGAGAATGATTTCCTTGTTATATACTCTGTAGCACAACTCTAGGAGCATCATTGGGAGAGTTAATACAATTTCTGCTTTTGTTAGCTTCTTTTCTTCTCTGCACTTTGATTCTTTCTATCAAATTCTTAATTGGTTTTGGCATATCATGGGTGATGTCAAGCACAGTAAAGGAGTTAATGTTCAGTTGGAATGATGGGAAAAGGAGGTAAAGGCGCAGAGCATGGAATGTTACTTTACAAGCACTTATGTGGGTTATTTGGAGAGAAATAAATATGAGAGCTTTTGAAGGGATAGATATGAATATTGTTAAGTTGAGGAGTAGCCTCTCCTTATTTTCTTTTGGTGCACCCATGAAATTCTTGTTGTATAGAAGATTGGGTGTCTTTCATGGAAAATCATGTCTTTTTGTAGGTTTTCTACTTTTTTGGTATACTTCTTGTATACGGGCGCATTTTGGCTCAAAACATTATTGAAATTTATTTAATTTATCATAAAAAGATCACTCATTCTAACCAATCAAAGAAAAAAAAATTCACTCTCTTTCTAGGATTATAAGAAAATAATGAAGCTCCCAAGTCCTTGGTCTAGTGGTAAGAGCGAACTTGTGATGTGTAGATTAGGCGCACGTTGCAGACTCGAACCCGATGTAGACAAAATCTTGGTATTTAAGTGGAGAACGACCTATTATCCATCAAGTTTCGAACTGTGCGCCATTGGCTTTGGGGATTTCTCGGTAATAAAGAAAGGGAGTAAGAAAAAAGTGAAAGTTTAAAAGTTAATTGTAATTACAGTTTTATCCAACACAAAATGCACTTTCAAAAGGTAATCAAAATTTGTGTTGGAGATTCGTACTTTTATAATTGTATAGATTAAAGATATAACTGTTAGTATGTTTTCTATGTGGGAAACTTAACTTTCTTAGACAAGTACATTTGGATGGAAATTAAAATGAATTAATATACCTGAAACATCAAACATTGTCCCAAAGTTTGCCTGAAATTTTAATGCAGTAAGGACTCACGTTCTTTAATATTTGTGCTATCCTCAATTTTTGTTTTTTTTATCTGTAGATCCTACAGCTCAGACGAGAAATGCAAATGGAGCTGGTTGGTAGGAGGAGGTTTACCAAAAGGTATTGTTTGCAATGGTATTTTTATTTGCACAAGATTTTGAAAACTGAGGAAAGTACAGGTGACTTGCTGGCAATTGATGTTTTGGCAATTGAAAAGTGATGTGAAATTTTGATAAACTGGCTGGTTATAACAATATGAGAAATAGCTGAATGTTCTGAAATTTTTCCTGTGATTGATGGAGTAATGGAGGAGGTTTACCAAAATAAGTGTTCAGCTAAATTCATGGTCATATCCCTTTCGGCAAGGTACTTTATGTATTGGTGTTCGTAGAGGAAATAGAAAATCGAGCATGTTAACTGGTAGCTTGTTAGAGACTGATATATTCTCAATTGAGAAGTACTAGTACAACAACTACACCTCAACCCCAAGCAAGTTGGGGTCGGCTATATACCCCGTCGCGGTCCAATATTAAAAAGAAAATTTAGTTTCACAAGCACTAGAAGTTCTTTATATTTTCTACTGGCATAATTGAGAAGTGAAGTATTTTTTGATACGATTGATTGGTTACAAAACACTAGTAGTTGAATGCTGTGATCTATTATCTTAATTCATGAGGTAATATGTCTGTAAGTTCGTGTCAAAGTTTTCATGGCATGTTCCCAATTTTGCTTTAGTTCCCGACAACTAAGATTTCTTTATTGCTATTTTGAAGGGTAAACCTATTCATGCAAGAAGTATATACCTGAATATATGGTTATAAGAAGATGTTATCTGAGAAAAGACATCTGTTCATCTATTTTAATTGGTATACTTCTTCAATATTTTTTCTATAATCTAGAAATTTGATGCTTCTGGCTTCGAAACTTGGTCGATAATAGGTCGCGCCCCTCTATCCTTCTCTAAAATCCCCGTCTTGGTTCACCAGCCATGAATAAGTTGGTATTTTGAGTTCTCCAAGAACAAACATATATATCATCAACATGTTCTATATACTCTATACCATCATTTTTTACTTGTCAAGCCTACTATATCCTTATTTCCATTGTTTACCCTCGTTTTGCTTCATTTATTATAAAGGTGTAAACTGGAATATTTGGGAAAAATTAAAAAAAATGATGCTTGCTATTTAGACCATATTATATCTCCCAAACTAGCTATGGAAAAAAAATATATATTCTAATCTACCCTATGTTTTTCCTGGCTGGGCTGGTCTCTGATCACATTATGGAACTTGTCCCCTTGATGCGAGCCGAAATGTGTACCACGAAGCTAAAGGAAGTACAGCTCAGTTACTTATTTTACCATTCACATGCTGAATCCTGCAAAATGTATTGGTTAATCAGTTGTATTCTTCCTCTTCTACTTCAATTTTAACCTTTTCATCTGAAGGTTCTTTACTAAGATTCTCTAGTTTGTTCTCTACTGCATAGTACAGTTGATCTAATTATTACTTATCCACACGGGATTGTAGTCCTGATACTTATATCGTCGACTTAATGAAAATTGTAATGCAGATCAAGTCTATGAAGGAGATGTATTTACCAAAACTCAATGATCTATACCATAAAGTTGCTTCTGAAATGCAGCAGGTGTGTCATCAGCGTTTTATTACCATTATTATCATTTCTGGAGGAAATTCTACCAGCTGTGTGGTGCATCATTCTGGATTTTCTAAATTTTGATATAATTGTAGATGTGCATAGTTCTATTCACTCCCAACTTCAATCCCAACTTGTCGAGGCTATACAAATCATTTATATCCACTCGGTTATATTTAGGCGCATTTCATTCGAATAGTATAGACAAATTACAGGTTCTCAAAATTTCAATATATCCTCACCAAGCATACAAGTCTAACTGAAATAAAGGAACTCTTGGCAAACAGCTAACCCAATGTAACTGTGACAACAACAATCAAGCCTTATTCCTGACTAGTTGGTATCGCTTATATGAATATTTTATATATTTTGTTCCCTTTTTTAGCCAAGTTTTCATTGATGCCAAGAGAAATTTGGTCTAGTTACCCTTAATGGATTTTAAGTCGAAATCATCTCTTTTACTACCTTCAATCATCATACAGTGTTTTATGGGGATAATACTCGCAATGCCTTTCTTTCTTATATTGAAACCATTGCCCTCTAAGTGCTTCACTGTAGTTTCAGATTTTGACCGACTCACTCGCAAATTTCGTCAATTAACACACTGTCATTTGCAAGTAGCATGCACCATGGTACTGCATCTTAAATTCTGTTGGTTTGCTCATCCATAATTAGGTAAAGGAGTACTGATGTCAAATTCCTTGGATAAACCTACCGTTATTGGAAATTCCTCTGTATGTCTTTCCATTTTTCTCATGCCTATGATTGTTCATTGTACATATTTTTTATGGCACTTATATATTTGGTGTACAAACTTCTAAAGATGCCCTTAGTTAATCTTAGAACATTATCTAACTGAGAATTGCTGCAGAAAGATCAAAACTCTAAATTCTCATTTTTGCATCCTTGTTCCTTCCCTGTCATCTTGAGAAAAAGTATTTCCATTGTTGGAATACAGTGTAGTGCGCTTAGTTTGTCTTCATTTTTTACACAGGGGCAGATGCAAATGGGTGGATGACACCGCTTCGCCGGAAAAAAATACTGAATGTTCGTACTAATATTCTGCAAAAACGATACAATATATAGTAATGACACCACTTCCTAGCAAAGAGTATTTCATGATCCACTGGCCAAGCTCATATTTGGGTTTGTAAAGTTCGTAGGCTCGAGGCTGGACCTAGACATTCTATTTTTTGAACATCTTTGAGCGAGCATTTTTGTTAAAAATTTGAGGCTACGGAAAATTGAACCTATACATACCTCCCTTTGCAATAATATTCAACTAAACCATTGGGTCATGACTTTCAACTTGTAGGAAAATGATATTAAATAATATTTATTTATTTTATTTATATAAATACGACACTGCTTACAAAAAGTTCTGCGTACGCCCGTGTTCTTACATCTTTGTCATTTGACAGCTTTGAAGTATTGTGTATGATTGTGAAGTAGAGGTGGTGGTGGGCAGCGTGAAAGGAGTTATTTGCACATATCTAGGTAGTTACTGTGGTATAGATGTGATTTTGATGTTAGTCTCTTTTCCTTTAAGGGAAGAGATCAAGGCCTCCCTAGTTCTGTGGACACTGGACAAGGGTTTGATATATCTGAGTTTTAAAAAGCACTTATATCAACATTTTATTAAAACATAGAGTGTTGGCTAGTTAACTCTGTTATTTGTCTCTTTATGCCATTTCTTAAGTTTTCCTCCCTTTTTCTTGGCCGTGGTTTTGGGGGGGGGGGGGGGGGGGGGGGGGGAGTACTAAAAGCGTGACTATTAAAAGTTAGCGAAGGGCAAGAAACTGATTCTTTCTGTTTTTCTGCATGATTCTCTTCCTCAGTGTCCCCAACATGAGAAAATTGAAAAGTTCAAGGTGTTCAAGGTAAAGCTGGAATACTTTGTGCTATTATTGCAGCTTAACAAGCACGATCCAACTTTCGAAACTGCTTTCGGTTGAGAAGCACATAAATTTCTTTCTTATATCCAATAATCCTCCCCAGCCTGATTCGTCTCCGCTGCAAGGGCAACTTCCTCAGCCTCCTGTGCATACAAGTCAGGTATGCAGTCAATTGTTTCTATTTGTTTGAATAATTCAATTGTTTTCCACCTTCTCGTTGTTATTCCTGCTTGTGTTAACATGCATCTACATTTTTTGGGTTGTGATTATTCTCCCAATATATATCTCTTAAGTTACGGATGACAAAGGTGGAGTTAAGATTTAAACTTTATGAGTTCTAAATATTAGGGTAGTAACCTCAAGCGTTAGTAACTAGGTTCTAAATTCATTTTTTGTACATATCTTATGGTTTTTCTTAACATAAATATAGGATTTGAACCCAAACCCGTACGACGTACCTTACCATCTAGCTCCGTCCCTGACGAATGATCTCTCGTGTGTTTTATATAAATCCCTTCTGCTTTTTTCTAAAATCTCATGTGTTATGATCTTTTGCAATTTATAAATCTCTCGAGTTACTAATGATCTCTCGTGTTTTATATAAATGATCTCTTTGGTTTTGTTCTAATATTTTCTATGTTTAATGCTAATGATCTCTTGCAATTTATGCTCTTAAGTTACTAATTATCTCTTGCACGTCAGACACCTATGATGGGTTCTGATTGGCAAGATACTGCTTCTCATTTTGATGGGTTAGATGACAGTTTTGGTGGATTGGGTTCGACACAGAATAGTTTTGGTATTGCTACTTCTGGTTTTGATAGGCTGGGTTCTAGTTTTGGTGGATTGAGTTCTGGTGCTAAACTTGATGAGCGTTTAACACATGTTGAGGAACGACTAGAGAAAATTGAGGCTCATTCGAAAAAGGCAGAGGCATTGTTGACTGATATTAACAAAAAACTGAATTATTATCCAGTGAAAATACGGTATGTTAAAGTTTCTAGGGACATTAGATGTTCAGCTAAGTACATGAGCTGTCATTTTCGACCAAAGAGGAAACATAGAGTAGCTGAGATGATAAGGCAGTCGTGCAAACATCGACGATTGAGAAGAGGTGTAGTAGAAGTAGTTTTTCGGTTGGTTCGTATGATGATTGTGCCGACGATGACCAAAGGAAGCTAGATGAAGAGCAAAAAAGTTGATACTAATAACTTATGATTTCTTTTCCTTTGTCTAAGATTTCCTACGAATAAAGTAAATTATCTCTTGCAATTTACAAAAGAGTTGATAATAACTTATGATTTTTTTTCCTTTGTCTAATTTTTTATTCTCATTCAATTTATAAATCTTTTCAGTTATTAACCATTTTCTTGAATAAATTTATCTCTTTTGCTTTGTTCTAAGATCTTCAATGTCCAAAGTAAATGATCCTTAGCAATTTATTACTAGTTTTTTGGGTTACTAATAATCTCGTGCTTTACATAAATATTCTCTTTTGTTTTTTTCTAAGATAATCTCGCTCTTTATATAAATATTCTCTTTTCTTTTGTTCTAAGATCTCTTGTGTTTAAAGTTAATTATCTTTTGTAACTTATAAATCATCTTAGGTTACTTATATTTAATAAATTTAGAAGTGTAAATAAAATTCTTCTTTAATATTTAAAAAAAGGACACTTTATCAGACCTCCCCGGAGGTTTTTACGTGTAACAGATCTCTCTGTGATTTTAAATATTAGCCAGGCTTCCCTTCTTTAATATTTGAGGTAAACAAAACTATATTTTAACCTAACATGGATAAATGTGCCCCGTATATGATAATTTTATGTTCAAGAATTATCTCATATATCTATGACAAAAATTAGCATCGTGATGTTCGAAAATTAATCATGCACAATAAAAACGAAGAGACATTTAAAATATTGATGTTAACTAATCCAGCAGTACTGTTGTAGTTAAATATAAACACCATTTAAAAATATACCGTTGAGGTTTTAAGTAGAAAGAAACAAAAATGTTTTGATACATCATATATACATTAATTTTTGTTGTTTTTCTTTCGAGTATGATTTATGGTCTTAATTCTTAAACTTCATAAAGCTGCATATAACATGTGAAAGATTATGTTTAGCATGTTTTGATTATAGTCCTCCTTAATCAAACATAAGATTGAGCAAAAAAAAAAAAAGATGACTTCAAATTCCAATTTCGGGAATTCTTAAATTTAATTCCATGATTATGTGTTATACGGCAAAACAAACATAAAAATACTAATTGCGAGTGGTTGGAAAAAAAGAAAAAAAAGGTAATGAGGCCAACAAAGACAAAAAGTTCTAGCAACAATAAAATGAAAATAACTTTTATGTTAGGATGTGTAAATTACTAGTATACATTTGCCTATTAATCTATTAGGAATAGATATAAGTACTATATAACTCTTTGTGCTTTGCACCAAAATGAACCCATTAAATGATTCAGTCAATCAAATTTATTTCAAAGATTTCAACTATTCTGTCTTGTCGTTGCGAACTACTGCAACTAAAGCAACTAAAGAAGTAAAAACAATTGTCTTGTAGACATTCAAAAGATTTCTCTTCTTCTTAGAGGGCAGTTGTCTGATTGTTTGGTGACACAAAAGATTGTTTGGTTAGCAAGCACTACCTACTTTAAATTTAATGTTTGTATATATTTATTACTTAGATTATATTATTTTTATAGTGTAAAATTTATAGGCCAACTTTCTCGAAACTTTAGAATTGTGTCGAGTGATTCTGATGTGTTTGTTATCATTAAATCGTAACCTATTTCCATAAAAATAGGCTCTTAATCATTTAACATAATATCATTTTCAGAGTATCAACAAGAATTTATATTTTCTTCCATTATTGCATCAAAATAAATGTAGAACTCATCTTCTAAAAAGTTACGGATAATATCACAATCACCGTACTTTGACTTCGGGTTCATGGTAATATAATACATGCAAAATTCATGATGTGCAAACTTGTAGATGTCGGCAACAACTCTTTGTACTTGCATGTCCATACGATATGATGTAGAAGTCATCACTATCAAAAATGCACTCATATATAGCTTCTTGGAAAAATATATAGTTTAACGAGTTATTATTTTCCGAGTTAACAATAACGAATGCAATTGGGACTCTTTGCTACTGTCGGCAACATTCATGAGTCGCTATTTACTTGAGACTACGGAACGGTATTTCGAGAGATTCTCTTGCACATTTACGTTTGGGACTACGAGACGGTATCTCGGGAGATTCCCTGTTGTTATCTCTGTGTATTGAGCTGTTACCTTCTATGAAATCTTTCTTGTTAAATTTCAGTCTTAATTTTACTGCGATATTTCATTTTTGCCTTGCTTTATTATCATATTCCAGTAGGACCCGGACCTGACCTCATCACTACTCTACCGAGGTTAGGCTTGGCACTTACTGGGTACCGATTGTGGTGTACTCATGCTACTCTTCTGCACATGTTTTTCGTGTGTAGATCCGGGTGCTCCTTATCAGCCGCATTATCAGTGAGTTGGGATAGTTTTGGAAACTTCAAGGTATATCTGCCGCGTCCGCAGACCTCAGAGTCCCCTTCTACTCTTCCCCAGGTCCATTATCTTCTGTATTTTCTTTTGATAGACTCTGATGTATAGAGACACTAGATTTTCGTTCTGTAGTTTGTGATTCACGATGTTTCGGGTTTTGGGATTGCTGTGTATTGTTGAACAGTTAGTTGTTAAAAATTATGTTTTTCATTTCATTATTCCGCAGATGTTAGGCTTACCTAGTCGTAGAGACTAGGTGTCATCACGACATTATACGGAGGGAAAATTTGGGTCGTGATAAGTTGGTATCAAATCTCTAGGTTCGTAGGTATCATGAGTTACAAGCCGATTTATTAGAGTCTCGCGGATCGGTACAGAGACATCTGTACTTATCTTCAGGAGGCTATGGAACTGTTAGGAAAACTTCACTACTTTGATTCCTTGTCGTGCGAAAATTGTTGACTTAAAAAAAATTCTAAACTTTTGTATTCTATTCTCTCACAGATGGTGAGGACACATACAAGTGGATCTGATGACCAGGCACCCGCGCCCCCTGCTAGAGCCGCGAGAAGCCGGGACCAGGGTAGAGGCCGAGGACGTCCACGTGGTGCAGCCAGAGCACCCGCACGAGCTGCTACAGAGGAGCCCCCAGTAGCTCCAGCTGGAGGGCAGACACCTGAGGCACATGTTCCTGCACCAGCCCTCCAGAAGACTCTAGCCCAGTTTCTGAGCATGTTCAGCAACTTAGCTCAGGCTGGTTTGATTCCACTTGCTCCTACCACATCTCAGGCTGGGGGAGGAGCACAGACTCCCATCGTCGGTACTCCAGAGCAGCGGGTTCAGGTCGACCAGGTTCCAGAGATTGTACCAATGCAGCTGGTAGCTCCAGCTCAGCCCGAGGTTAGGGGAGCAACTTCTGAGGTGGACCAGCTCAGACTTGAGAGGTACAAGAAGTACCACCCACCTACCTTCAGCGGATTGGTTACAAATGATGCCCAGGGTTTTCTAGAGGAGTGTCATCGTATTCTCCATACTATGGGCGTAGCGGAGACGAGCAGGGTTTCTTTTACTACATTCCAGCTTAGAGGAGCAGCCTATCAATGGTGGCGTGCTTATGAGTTGAGTAGTCCGGCTGAGGCAGCTTCACTTACATAGACTCAGTTCTCGGACATGTTTTTGAGAGAGTATGTCCCTCAGAGCCTCAGGGACTCATGGCGCGCGGAGTTTGAGCAGCTGCGCCAAGGTGCTATGACTGTGTCAAATTATGTAGTTCGCTTCAGTGATTTGGCCTGACATGCACCGCCCTTGGTTGCCACAGTTCGAGAGAGGGTTCGAGGGTTTATTGAGGGACTCCACCCCAGCATTCGGATTAGTATGGCCAGAGAGTTGGAGATGGATATTTCTTATTAGCAAGTGGTGAGTATTGCCAAGAGATTGGAGGGCGTGCTTACCCGGGATAGAGAGGAGAGGGAGTCCAAGAGGTCTTGAGAGACTGGTTATTATTCTGGAGCTCGTGTCCCAGCAACTCTCCATGGTAGGGGTTATGTGAGCGGCCCCGTTCATTCATCTCTTCCAGCCGCCAGTGGTGTTCCAGCCCCTTCTAGGCCCCAGAAACCTTATTATGCACCGCCAGTATCTAGTGTGCCTCCTGTACGGGGTGTTCCTAGCGGCCAATCCAGCAGACCTGGCCCGATCCAGTCACAGCAGCCACGCCCTCCCAGGGCTTGTTTGAGTGTGGCGACACTCGCCATATGGTGAGGGATTTCCCCAGATTTATGAGGGATGCACCTCCACAGATTTCTCAGTCACAGCGTGCTCCACCGGGTCCTCAGGCTATGATTACAGCACCAGCTGCCACCCCACCTGCTCANTAAGGGGTGTGACGCGTATCTATCTTATGTGAGAGACGTTAGTATTGATACCCTTACAATTGAGTCAGTTCCAGTAGTGAGGGACTTTCCAGATGTGTTCCCAGTTGAACTTCCGGGCATGCCGCTCGACAGAGATATTGATTTTGGCATTGATTTATTACCGGGCACTCAGCCTATCTCTATTCCTCCATATCGTATGGCTCCTCCTAAGTTAAAGGAGCAGTTACAGGAATTGCTTGATAACGGCTTTACTCGGCCCAATGTGTCACCTTGGGGTGTTCCTGTCTTATTTGTGAAGAAGAAGGATGGTTCTATGTGGATGTGTATTGATTACCGCCAGTTGAACAAAGTCACAGTGAAGAACAGGTATCCATTGCCTCGTATTGATGACTTATTTGATCAGTTACAGGGCGCCAAAGTGTTTTCCAAGATTGACTTACATTCAAGATATCATCAGTTCAATATTCGGGAGCCAGATATCCCGAAGACTGCTTTCAGGACCAGATGTGGTCACTATGAGTTTCTTGTTATGTCGTTTGGGCTGACCAATGCCCCAGTAGCTTTTATGCACTTGATGCACAGTGTGTTCCAGCCTTATCTTGACTCATTTGTCATTGTGTTTATTGACGACACTCTGGTGTACTCCCGGACTCGGGAAGATCATGAGTAGCACCTGAGGACTGTGCTTCAAACCTTGAGAGAAAAGAAGTTATATGCAAAATTATCAAAGTGTGAGTTTTGGCTAGACTCAGTGGCATTTTTGGGTCATATAGTATCGAGTGATAGGATCCAGGTGGATCCGAAGAAGATTGAAGCAGTGCAGAGTTGGCCCAGACCATCCTCAGCTACGGAGATTCGGAGTTTTCTTGGTTTGGCGGGATATTACCGTTGAGGGATTTTCTTCTATTGCAGCACCTATGACCATGGTGACCC